TCCTAAAAGATATTTCTAGTTGTTGAGGTGCCCTAATGGCGAAATGAGTTTGAGATGAGAAGTAACTCATGAGTTTTGGCATAGTGTGGGAAATACAATGCCAACTCTTTTTATCAGTACTAATCTGTGGCCATTCTGGCCCATACTTGAACATAAATATTAAGGACACTTTGAATAGTTTTTTAACTCAATTTTAAACCTGCTAATAATTTCTTAATTATATTCTTAGATTTCAGTTCAGCATCATTTACAGCATTTCCACGTGTGTGTTCTGTGCTTTGTGTGAGGGGTGTGTGTTTGTGTGTGTGTGCGTGCATATTTATATCTATGTATACACAAATAAAACTTATATATCTTTTATATATAAGTTATATAAAGGTATGTGTTTACATAGGTTTATTTTAAGTGATCATGTCTCTGGATGGTGGTATGCCAATGTTTGTAACTAAACCAGGCGCTGCCGTGAGTGGAAGCGCATACGTACGCTGTCTGTGACATGGATTTTTTTTCAGGGGCTGACTGATTTCCTACTGTAGCAATTTTATCGCAGGGGTTGCGTGCACGTGGAGGAAGCTGGTGTGCAGGGTTCTGCATCCATAGAAATCTGAATCAAACGCCCTTTGCTCCTGTGTGGGGCTCTTCTCTGCCACCCTGGGGTGACACCAGCACTGTAAACTCACTGGAATAAACCCTGAACTGAGTGCTGCCTTTCAGACACCAATCCGTTCATTCTGCTGTCCTCCTTTTGCAGGGAGAATATGTCACTAATACCTTCAACTCAGGAGTGTATCTGTGCAGTAAAATAAAACAAGCTGTTCCCTGCTTTCATGTTTTCAGAGCGATGGATGTATTTACTGGAGTAACAGAAAATTGACTTAGCTCATTGCCTGTATCAGCTACTAAGTGGTCTTTTCTGTCTTGAAGCAGACTCTTTGTGGAGATGGAGCTAACCTACACCGGGATTACTAAATCAATCTAACCAGTGCATTCAGAACTGCTGGCATCATCCTCTTATCGCTTTTGAGATGAATGGTATTAACTGTCCAACTTATTTTTACTATGTTTTAGTGCCTGGAATAGTTTCAGTATCCAGTAGCTGCTGCTACCTATTGTCTCCTGAAATCAAGGATCACTTGCCAAGAGTCTGATTGGAGCTGCATTGTCATGGCAGAACTGCAAGCTCAGATGGCTCTTTGGAGCTCTGCTTTTGCAATTTACTGTAGCTATATTAAGATTAAAATTGCACAGCTCAGGCAGTGTCCTGAGCGACAGATTTCTAATCCTTTCACTGTCCTGACTATTTTAAGATGGAGAAGCACTTTGGGCAGTATTCAGATTATAACCTATTCTGCCTCTGTTCCAGAAACCATTGAACAATTCAAAATATTTGTCAGCACTGCCAGATGCAGGCTGTCCGTACAGTCAGGGGAGAAGAGTGAACATCTTGTATTAAACCCCGTTGGTTGGTTTTTGGGGTTGGTCTGAGTTGCTCACTGCTCTCCTGAACTTTGATGATTTGGGAGAAGTTTCTATGTCTGTCTTGGGCACTGTAGTGTGTGGGCTTAATTACAGCCCTCGATGCTTCTGCACCAGTAGAGACATTATCCAGAGCTGGGCAGCACGGCAGGACTTTGCTGGAGACCTGCGCTGGGGTTGCAGGCACCGTTTTGCAGTTGGGTCTCAACCAGAGTTCCCAGCAAGATCTCTGAAAAATACGTTATCTGCATCTGTGCCCAGCAGCAGCATCCTTCTCTGGAGGAGCAGTCCATTTCATGCCAGTAACACAAGTGAACCTGTGGGAATATTTTTTGGATATGAGTTATCACTAGGTCCACCTTTCCTAGCTGTCAGGATAACCACACTGTATTGGGAGTCAGAGTTTGAGACCGCAGGGAGAGCCCTCAGCAACACTGATACAATTAGCAGTAGCGCAGAACAGGCTCAAAACAGTTAATATTTCTCTTATTAATTAGAGAAAGTTCTAAGTCTCTCTATAACTTTTGAGTCAGTAACAAGGGTTTTTTATCAAATGAGGCATTACCTTGCACTTCTGCAGAGTAGCTGATGTTGCCTGCTGCTTGGACTTGCCAGCAGCAGAAGGTGCCCTGGGAAGTTTCAGTATCTGCTTCTCTTCGTGGCCGATTAAGTTCATGGCCCTGAAGAACACTTTTTCCCAGTATTGTAGAGGCCCCTAACATACAAATAGTTGTGTTGAGTTTTATATTGAAAATGCTAGCAGCGTGATCTGTAGTGAGCTCTCTCTCCTAATAGTTCTTCATTTGAAGTACGGGCTGCTCCTCAGGTTTCTGCTTGGCTCGATAACGACTCTCAGCTCAGCTTCCAGCGCTGCTGGCTTTTCTTCTTGCGAGCTGCGGAGCTGCACTAGCTTTCATGCTGCTAATGAGGAAGCTCAGGGTTAGTAGATGTAGGCTCCGCTTATGGCACTGTTTACTGTCTCTCGTCGTTGCTGTTAACCATTAATTTCCTTTTGATTCCTTTGCCTTCTCTTGTGGCCGCCTGCTCCCCTGAGCTAGAGTCCGTGCAGGAGATTTGGAGGAGAGCTTCGGTGTTCCCAAGCCAATTTCAGAGGGATGGGTTGGCCAACCATCTACTTAATATGCATTAAAATAGTAATTTTTTTAATTTTTTTTTTAGAAAATCATGCAAACTGGAAGAAAGGTGCAGACCCAAAGGCTTTTACACGTATGTGAGCACACAGTTTGTTATGAGCAGACTCTAATTTGCCTGAAACTTACACATTTCACTCCCACACCCAGAGAGGCCAAGCTGATAGGCACCATGCGTGTTATGTATTCAGGTTCACAGCATCACGGAGTTATTTCCAACCATCTGACAGAGCTGAAGTGAATGGGAGTGGGACATCTTCAGTCTTGGAATGGGTTGGAAAGCCCCAGACTGTGTCAATGTCTGCTCTGGTAACTCCGGGGTGCGCCAGGCTGATGGATTCGGTAAGGGGACGGTGGTTCCCAGAGGGCATTTCAGCACTGATGTACTGCGTTGAGTTGATCAAATCCATATAAAATTAGAAGTTTTGTGGTGACAGGGGTGTTAATGCCTGGCTTATTCTACAGTAGAATTAGCAAGTGACTGTGTGGCCTTACACTGTAATATCAGCAAGCTGAATGGATTAATAAGCGTCTATTGGCTGTTACTAGAAAGGGAAGTGCTATTTAATTGTGAGAATTGACTGAGATATGAATGGGAATTACACAGTTTGCACAGTGGATATAATTGTCCTATAATACTGTGACAGTGGCATTTTAATTTTTCATCTTCATTTTTTCTATTGGGTCACTTGCAAATTTTAGTAATTATCTATGGCAAACGCATTTTTATGTTTCATTAGGTTTTTGGAGGTTTCTTTTACACTAAGTCTGGATCTTTGCAATAATTTGTCAAGACAGCTGCTGTGCTGGTATGAAAGGGTACATCAGTACTTGGTATGGATTTGGTATTTGGTGTTGATGCTGCCATCCTTGGTGTTAAAGCGCCAGGCTTGGGGAGGGGGATGTGTGTGCGAGGAGGCAGCAGCCCTCGTGGATGCACAGTTGTGCAGGGGTAAACGCTGACCCTGCCAAAATGAACACAAACTTCATCATCTTCCGTGGGTCCGGGAGGTGGGTCCCAGTGTCAGGGCTGGGAGGAGGAAGGGAGCACGTGTAGGAGGAGAAAATCCTCATCGTGGCTGGTTTCCCTGCAGTTGTCACTGCTGCGAGGCGGGTTGTAGGTGGCACAGGAGTATCTGCCTTGCTTCCTCCAGGAGCAGCGCTTCAGACAGCAGGGGAGGAATGTCAGGAGACGCTGTCAATCTGGTTATGATTTTTGCAGTTTGTGTTCCCAGACAGATGAAACTAATAAATAGAGGAAGAAATGTAACTTGGTCCAAAGTTTTGACAAGCAAAAGCAAATATTTACACAGATGTGCTGGCTCCTGCCTTTTACTTGATATCGCAACTTGTTTGGAGCGATTGGTGCCCGCCCGTAGCGTGGACCCGTGGTCCCAGCGTTCTCCTGCTGCTGCAGACCCCCAGCAGCACTGCGGGATGCTCGGTGCCCGGGCGGGGGGCAGCAGTCTGTGTGAGGGGAGGGGAAGCGCTGCGGCCAGGATGCCCAGAGGGTGTGCTGGTGGTGGGCACCTGGGTTGTTTGTGCTGGAGGGAAGGCTTCTGCTCTGCAGACTGATTTTAGAGTCTCATTTTTTATTTCCTCAA